GAATCCACGACCCGCAGATTGCGAGCCGAGTGCCCTAACCACCTGGCCATGCCAGGCCAGGTTTGTTGTGAAAAAAAAGTTTCTGCCTTTTGTTTATTGGCTATCAGTAAGGCCCGGCATGGCCAGGTGGTTAGGGTACTCAACTCGCAATTTGCAGGTCGCGGGTTCGAATCCCCGTCCCACCAAACATGCTTGCCCTTTCAGCCCGGAGGGTGTTAAAACATGATGACTAATACTATTTATTGGTAAAAGAGTAGCCCAATAGGGACGGCTAGCGCAGATAACCCTCGTGTAGCTTTGCGCGAAATTAAAAAACAAACAAACGTATCAGTAAAATTGATCATAAAATCTGGCATTAACTTCTAAAGAATGTACAACTGTTTTTGCTATTTTATTTGTTTTAAAATGTGATAACTGCTGATTTCATAAACGAAGTTCTATTACAGCATGTTTTGATGAAAGCCATCAGAGTGTGACTTATTTCCAGGAACCCCCCAGTACACAATATTGCAAGGAGACTGCAGTTGGTAGACGATCGTGGTAATTACAAGATACAGAGCTCTCGTTCGTTTGTTTTTATCCAAGATTGAGAGAATTATTTCTCTTGGAACGAATTTAATTCAAAACTGAATTTGGACGGCTAAGATTTTATCATCGTTTTTCAATAACATGTTTATTCTTTAATGATGGCAAGCTTGTTATATTCAAGATTAAGGTATTAACAGGATGTTGCGTTACTGTCCTTACACCTTAAAGCGATAATTATCAATCACCAACCACTAGGTAGGAGATTGTCATGGCAACTGGTGAGCTTCCTTCTCCAATGCAATTTCTATAGCTTGAAGAAAAATTTTCAACTGAGCAGGCGCCACCTAAAATTACCTTAGCGCGCAGCCGCGAGCCTCGATAACACGAAATAAACAGAGGGCAGTGTTAAATAACGATAAAACCTAGCAAGCAGTACAAGCCGCGTGAAGCAGCACGTGCGGAGCTTTAAGCAAAGCCGAAATGAGCCTGAAATGCTGGATGATGAACACGTTCCGAATGGGAAGACGCAAGGAGATGCGTAGTCTTAGCAAACTAGCTTCTTTGGAAGAGTAAAAAAATATATACCTGTGGTAAGCTAGCTTCTAATTACCGAACACATAATACTTGCATAGCTAAAAACAGAAGTTAGTATACACTGTAACTGCATCTTTGTTAACAACGGGCGTTAATAAATCGTTGTTGCAAATGAATTGTAAGAGAACAAACTTATAACCTTAAATATGTTAAATAAATAAAGTATTTAATGTTCATGGAGTAAATTAATGAAATATATATAATTAATTATTTAACAATTCTAACCTAAATTAATCGATGAGTGTACTGTATATTATACGAAACGTACAGAAATTATAATCACGAAGAAATAATTATTTCGATTTCATGTTTTCAGTCTAAACCAGATTATCTAATAGTGTATTACTTTAACGTTTGTTGAAGCCTAAAGTTAAACATCTGACGAGATATGTTTGACAGATAATGTAGTCACGCGTTTTATTCTTAAGGATTAAGACTCCCTAGCAAAGATTTTTTGACATAAATGCTCTGATGATTCGCATGGTAGTCAAAAGGATAATGAAAAAAAATGAAGAAACCAGAAATCAAAAGCTTTTAATCCACCAAAATCAGTGAAACCAGAATTTTACTAAAACATAATATTAAAAGACACAACGTTGTTGTTTTGTTGTTTTTTTTCTTTAGCTGTCGAAAGTAATTCTTTGAGCGAGTAGAGTCCTTTAACAACCTGTATGGTAAGAACATCTTAAAAGACTCACTCGGAAGTTGTTTCTAATTAGTCGGGGTTCAGATCCTGAGCGAATAAAATTCTTTAAGGATTCACCTCAATTATTTCTAACTTAACTTTAACTGAGTAATGCAATTTAACGACCAATCTGTTTTAGTTTTTGTCTCTCTATAGATAGAGTTAAAATTCACTGGCAGGTGACAAATAAAACTTTATAAATACCAGGTTATTGGCTGAAAGACTGAGTTTAAGTTTAACCTTAAAAAAAATGAAATAGGCTGGTGAATTACAATTATACTCCTCTATAGACTAACCTGGTGAGAGGATTAACTGAACTATAACGATTCACCCAGTGAGAGGATTAACTTAACTATAACGATTCACCCAGTGAGAGGATTAACTGAACTATAACGACTCACCTAGTGAGAAGATTAACTTAACTATAACGATTCACCCAGTGAGAGGATTAACTTAACTATAACGATTCACCCAGTGAGAGGATTAACTGAACTATAACGACTCACCTAGTGAGAGGATTAACTTAACTATAACGACTCACCTGGTGAGAGGATTAACTGAACTATAACGACTCACCTAGTGAGAGGATTAACTTAAGTATAACGACTCACCTAGTGAGAGGATTAACTTAACTATAACGACTCACCTGGTGAGAGGATTAACTGAACTATAATGATTCACCCAGTGAGAGGATTAACTGAACTATAACGACTCACCTAGTGAGAGGATTAACTGAACTAAAACGACTCACCTAGTGAGAGGATTAACTTAACTATAACGACTCACCTAGTGAGAGGATTAACTGAACTATAACGATTTACCCAGTGAGAGGATTAATTGAAGTATAACGACTCACCTAGTGAGAGGATTAACTGAAGTATAACTTCTTAATTATAGATGATAGACTAGAGTGAAGCCATTCTTAATTATAACTGATAGACTAGAGTGAAGCCATTCTTAATTATAACTGATAGACTAGAGTGAAGCCATTCTTAATCATAACTGATAGACTAGAGTGAAAGGCTGTTATTGAACAACCTTCGCCGTCATATTTTGGACTACTCTTGTTTCTCTCAATTGTGGGATTTTGCCATTACTCTTATAGCGCTCTCACTCCCAAAGTGCAGAGCGTGTTTCTGTGAAGCAGTGGGACTGAATAGCGAACCTAAAACATGACCAGTCCTTTTCTGGGGGGGCTCTACTATTCATTATATTGTTCATAGTTACATTATTATGACCATATTATGTTTTGTAAGAATTATATTGACTATCCTTCTGCCCGTATTATATGTTTTTATGTTTATACCTTATATGTTATTGTGTATCATTTTATGTATTTATGTTTATGTCACTTATTATATTGCCATATCATTCAATGGTATGCTTATATCACTTATTTTGGTGGTCATATATCATATATCGGTTTCTATATATCCCTTATTTTTATAGTCATATATCATACATTGTTATTTTATATCCCTTATTCTTATTGCCATATCATTCATTGGTGTCTTTATATCACTTACTTTTATGGCCACATACCATACATTAGTATGTCTATATATATTATTTTGATGATTATATCACACAGTTATGTGTTTATATGATCGTGTGTTGTTGTTTTTCCACACTATAAAACTGCTTTTTTATTCATTTTGTTTTAATCACACTTTCACAATTTGAGAAAAAAAAATACGTTTCTAAACATCTTAATTTTTTCTCGTCTACTTTGTTTGAATGAAGACCTTTTGCTATAATAATGTTATGTACTTATTTCTATATGTCACTATCCGCATCAATGCTTATTGCAGTCTTAATACTTGTAGAAATTCTATAACTGCTATATTAATCCAATAATTTACAGTTGGAGCAGCGCGCGAGAGAGAGGGAGAGAAAGAAAATACTTATAATACTTTGCTGTTCAGCCAACCATGGTGGTCAAATATGTTCTAACTGTCACTACGATACTAACAACGACATCATAAGGATGTGTTTTCATCTTATAATTCGTTCGTTATAATTTGGATGAGGGGCTGTTTGTAAGTACGGAATCGTCACCAGACAGCGGAGAATAATAAGAGATGCAACTGAGGACCGCCCATTGGATCTCCGTGGCAGACAATAATGACATTCTAATCAGCCTGTACTCCTGAAAAAAAACACTAAGTTTAAATATATGTGCAGACTGGGTGATTCTTATTTGTTCAGACACTTTCATGGAAGAGAGTGTTATCGACCAGTGCGTGCAGAAAGCGAATGAATATTGCTGCCATGCGAAGCGCAAACATAGGTTCTTAATTAACTTTGTTTTCGTATGCCACACGCGAGTAAGGTTTTCATGGAAAAGTTTACTCAGATTAAATACTAAACCACCAGGAATACAATCTTCCGTATAGGTACAGTGACATACCTCATGATTAACTACGCCACCTGGAGAAACGCTCAGTGAAACTTTGAACAGTTATCTATGATCGGATATTTAAAATAGTGTTAATTAAAGGGTTGGTGTGTATTTTCAAGTGACACAAGCATGTTAGTCACCTATTCATTCTGTACGTAGTGCAGAGTGACAGTTGGAATTTGTCCTTTAAAAATGCCCCCCCCCCCCTCAGTGGCACAGCGGTATGTCTGCGGACTTACAACACTAGAAACCGGGTTTCGATACCCGTGGCGGCAGAGTACAGATAGTCCTTGTGCAGCTTTGTGCATAATTAAAAACAAACAAACCTTTAAAAATATCTTCGAATATGAAAATTATAAAAACGTGAAGTGTAACGTATCTAAACGGAAAACGAAAAATAAAACCTGAACTGATTCCGTAACCACTTGATTTATTACAAAACAAGTTTCAAAAAAATATCAAACTGGCACCGCTGTACAAACATACCGTAAACTTTCCTGCATTTAAATAGTGACAACCCAGTAGTTGAGAGCATTTTGTCTTATACATTGTGGTATCCTATATCTGTTATACTGTAAAATGTACAGATGATGTATTATTAGTTTTACGGTAGACACTGTTTTTCTATAAATCGAGTTTCGATACCTGCTGTGAGAAAACATAGCTAGTCCATTGTGTAGCTTTGCGCCTAACAACAAAATAACAAAGAAATAAATTTATGTAGATAGTATTTTTTTAAATCTGTTAAAAAATAAATATGCAGCTAAACGCTTCATTGTATAATGTTTCTAAGAATTTGGCATCTCAGATTAGCCATCCACAACTTAATAGTTTCTTTCTGGTGTATGAGCTAAAATTCCCTAGCCCGTCATTGGTTAATCACTAAAAGAAGGAAACAACAGAAACAAGAATAACAAAAAAATTAACGTGTTAAATTTGATGACTGTTAAATCTACGTTTTCGTCGTCACTCGTGCCTACCAGGAAGAAAATAACCCTTCTAGAAACATGCATATATCTTAAAACGTTCACAAATATTTGCCACTATTGAGGATGAAAATCAAGACCCCCTTCTCATACCAAAAACACGCATCTAATCAGTATTCCACACCCACTGTAGCTCAACAGTAAGCGTGGGGGATTAATACCCTAACATTTGAGATTCGACCCATGCAGTTAACACAGCTCATTTTGCATCTTTGCACTTAAACAAAAACACATTTTTTGGTATTCAAAGTTCTTTGTTGTTAATCGCAAAGCAACACAATGGACCGTGTTGTGCTCAACATAAGTATCGAGCCCCGATTTTTAGCGTTACAAGCTCTCAGATTTAGCGCTGAACCGCCAGGGGGCTACTTAAAGTTTTAATTGAAAATATGTTTTAAAAAATACTAAGTTAGTTTTCAGGCGACTATTAAAATACATCAAAGGCATGTTTTAATCTCACAATTTCATGCTTCAAGAGCATATCAAGTTGAATGTGCGCTAGTTGAAATAAGATAATAGAATAATAGTTTAGAATATTTCAGATAAAGAGTAGTGCCGTTTAATAAAGCATGCTGAGACGTATTACTTTAAGCTTGAATTGTTAATATTATCCTTCAATAAGAGCAACTTACCTACTTAGATCAAAAATAAAATACAAAAAACTCTACAATTTCTATAGTTAATTAAAAATACTTTTATTAGGTTCATACCTATAAAGATTATAATGCCTTTTTAATCGGTTGAGTCCCGTCTCAGTGAACGATATTTTCGGCCGTAAATCTATTAATATCTCACGAAGTTCGATCACCTTTTGAGATTTAGACTAGTCCTAAATCCATCTGCTAGCCTAACAATGCAAAGTAATCTCTTTAATAAAGTAGAATAATAATAATGGAAAATACGAAATATAACATTCTTGAAGTG